TCTTTCTTTCTTTCTTTCTTTCTTTCTTTCTTTCTTTCTTTCTTTCCCTCCCCCAGCCCAATCTGAATCAAAGGGTTACTAGCCTGTTTTGAGGCAATGGCAAAATAGCTTAAGTAAGCATTTGACAAGCCAATAATGTCCCTAGTGTAAATCTGTACTCTGACCGATATGCCATATAATTAATTTTTTTAATAAACATAATGGGAACATGACAGACAATACATTGTAAATAATAATAAAGACAATGATGACAATAGTGATAACGATTCTAACAAAACGCAACATTACATTTGGGTTCAAAGTCAAACATTCTATATATAGTTACAATTGGGGTGTGGGAGTCCTCTGTAAAAATGAAAAGCTATAAAAAACAGCAAATTTTATCATTATCTTTTAGCATTCTTGCTAATTTTGTTGGTACGTTCTTTGGCCAACCACACATGGAAATTAAAGATTAGACTTTTTCAGAATATTTTTAATAACTATAACTTTTTTCCTTCCAGAGAATCTTAGAATTAAAAGGTAACCAAGAAGACTCCTGTCATCTTGTACTATTCAACATATGAATTTACTCTAAAATATTGGAGCAAATATACATTTAAGATGATTGTAGAATTATTTCAAATTCGGAGTATTACATAAATAAAAATCATTCTCAGAAATGACATTTGTAAGTTTCCTGAGAAAAACCCGGATCTCATTAATGGCGTGTATAAGCGTCATCACAAATTCCCTGTGCAGATCACAGTGAGGATATTTTAAGGCCTTACTCAGGTCAGGAAGGCCCAAGAAGAATGGTAACAAAACATATAGTTCAAACAAGATACCTGGGGGATCAGGTTTACTGTTCTTATTGTGGGGATATTGCCCAAGTAGTCCCAAACACGAATCAGTAGTATTTCTTGAAAGCTCAAAAGTATTTTTCCCCTTTAGTAGCTTTCTGACACTTGATTAGTTCACTACATCCCCAAAATAGATATTTGTCTCCCAGTGTTGTTTTTTTCAAACCACAGAATAGTATTAAACATAATTTATATTTAAAATATTCTTAAAATATGGTCACAGCTGCATACATATATCTCAAAGCCTTTTTTTTACTAACTTTAAAAATAGCTCACCAAACTTTGTGAACTATTTTATAGGATGATCAATTAAAAATGCAAGCCGCTTTCCTAGGTTCAGAGGCAATCACACCTGTGTATAGACTAATTCTACACCACTCTGGTATTCTGGTATTAATGGAAAGTAAGCTCCTAGGAGCACTTCTTTGGCGAGCTGGGTGCCGCCACATTTCCAGGCATTCTCTCTCAGCGCTAACAACATTTCCTTAGGACTGTGCTAAGTGCTTGGCAATGCTCTGTGAGGTGATGGCCATTCTTGGCCTGATTTTACCCGCAGGTGAAAGTAACTGAGCCAGAGACTTGCCCACAGTTAGAGACCTAGGAAGTGATAAAGTGTGTCCTCACACCCCGTTCTTATGACACAGAAGCTGGGCTCTTCACCTCTCAGCTCCAGCTTGTCTCAGAACCAGAACCATCCAATCTGCTCAAGCAATCCGTGCTTTCAGAGAGGGGCATGAGGAGATTATAAAGACAGTCTTTATCTACACTCCCTTTCCAGCATCCCCAGCCTTTTGGATTGCTCAAGAAGAGAAAGTTGCCAGAAAAATACACACACAACTCTCCTCTTTGTCAGCGAAAAGCAGTCCCTGAGAGAACTCTGCCAAAGGGGAGCGGAAGACCATAAGATTATCCCTGCCCGACTGTGAGTGATGGGTCAGCCAACAAAGACAGAAAGAAGTACTGTGCTTGGCAAGGGATGTCTATAAAAGGCCAGTCTTTTCTCACAAATCTGAGTAGCAACAGAAATGACAAGAAAGGGGAACGGCAGGAGGAGAAAAGCAGAGGGAGGAGGAGAGGCTTGGAGGCTGGAGTCCGCTTCTGGCGGTTTTTAGCAGTGACACACAATCCGCTGAAAACAGCAGAGAAACAAATTGCTCACGACAGAAGACAAAGCAGCTTTGCTGCCGTGGGGGACAACAAGCCACCTGCCTCTTGTTTCCATGGTCCTTCGGGATCTGGGGCAGGGCACTCCACGCTGGGCAGGGCGGAATGAGAGCAGGCAGCTGCCTCCGCTCGGTGGCCCTGGGCGCATCGGGGTGCCCAGCTCTGTGGCGGGTCACCAGTACAGACAGACAGTCGCCGGACCTGGAGTCTCAGCAATGAGGAGCAGCCGTTCTGGGGCGGTCTCTCTCTGCGCCCCCAGCACAGCCCATAACGGGTTCTCACACAGTCCCAGCCCACAGGGACAGCACTAAGCAGGGCTCCTGGGGGCTCTCACGCCCCTCTCCTGCTGTTCGATATGGATAAATGATGCTTTCTCAATCTGCGCTTCCCCTTTCTGTCCAGCTCGCTGCCCTTAGGGCCCTCCCATGCAGAAAACCTGCTGTGGCTGCTATAAGCGCCGTATGACTGATCACAAATCGTTCACCGTGTTCTGTTTAAAGATACCAAGAAAGTGTCTGCAATGTCTTAAAAAAGAGTTTTCCACTGAGGAAAAGTTAACATTTGGTGACTACGTACTAAAATGGTTGGTCTACTATCTAGAGGGAAAATCCAGCTGTCCAGCTCATTTCCTATAGCTGGTTGTGGTTTGACCTTAGAGAGCTCTGTGTAATGCAAGGGGTATTTGAGTTCCGCTGTAACAATAAAGGTTTTAGGTTTCTGAAGGGTGTGAAATGAAGGGCTACAGTGGCCATCTGTTAGTAATGTCAGGGCAGGTGATGGAAACAGGTTTGAGTTCGTTCTACGATGAGCCGAGGAGGGTCTTCCAGTTAGACCCACCACTAAGAAACAGTAATGGAGTCTCTGGAAGGAGTGTTACCAACACCAGCCTTGGTTTCCTGTCCAAACCAACAGGCTGAGGCTCTCGGAACATTAGAGCCCTGTGCACTTTTCTTTCCCAACTCCTGCGTCAGATTTAACTTCAAGCCGTGCAATTTTCTTTATCAAGGCATCTGCTGTGCCTCTCCTTGATAAAAGTGTGCCGCCGGTGCCTCCTCAGGAACGCTCAGAGAGCTGTGGCCCTGACTGAGCACCAGAGGGGGTCAGGCCAGGAAACTTCATCATAGGGCATAGCCCTCAGGAGCGCTTTCAGGCTTGGACCTTGTTATCCCAGCTCTGCCTCCTGCCTGGTGCAGTTCCACAGGCCCTCTCAGCGTGACACCTGAGGCAGGGGAGAAAGGTGTATATTCCAGCCACATCATTGCCCTGACTTTGGGGAAGGAAGAAGCAGGTGTGTGGCTCTACCTGTGTTTGTAGCAGGTGGGTGGTGGAAGGGGGAGCCTCTTAGAGGAGGAAGCAAGATTGGGGTTTTCTTACTTTTGGAGAAAACTGTTAAGTTTCCCTGGGGAGCAGTTGTTCTAGATCAGGCTGCCTGGCCCCCTGCCTTCTGGTAGCACCCCCCGCCCAACCCGCTCAGGGTCCCAGTGTGTGGCTGAGGCACACAGTAGAGTTGGAAGATTGGTGATTCTGCTGCTCAGGGCTCAGCATTGCCAGTTTTACTGTGAGTCTTGCCCAGGACTCATGCCCTAGTTAGCAACTAGTTTATTGCCTTGTTTCTGGTCACCACAAGATGGGTACTGGCTCGGCTTGAAGCTTCCCTGCCACGAAGCTTGAGTCCCAAACCTTGTAAGCTGTGTTCTCTTATTTCTTCACTTGGAAACTCTTCCTTGGTTCTCCTACTGGAATCCCATTTGTTTAGAAATGGGCCTTCTGCTGTTCTTCGGGGACTACAGCCTGTTCCAAACCTGCTGGGGGTATCTGATGCTTATGAGCTCCCTTGAGGTCGTATCCATTCTCTGCTGCCCACTATTGAAGCTCCATGCTGTTGACTGCCTAACCCCACCAGAGAGCCTGTAGTTAGACCTCACCTCTCCCTCTACCCTAATCAGGCCAGCACTACAAACCCCTTATCCTCCCCCCACTGGTAGCTACCCCAGGGCTTATGGCAAAGCATGTGGACCTCTGCTGACTGCCTGCTTCCGAGCTCCCTCCTGCTGGGTCCTTCCCATCTCTCCAGCCTGCTCTCACATCTTGTTGCCCTGCTCCAAAGGGGCAATGGATGCGGTATCAGATGTCTCCAGGAGGACAAATCATTTTGCCAATGGGGCCCCAGACTCATAATCAATTGATTCCACGGTGTGATGACAAAAGTCCATGCAGCTGTCCAGTTGTCCATTTCACTTCAGAAGTGAAGACAAATCTTGTTTGTTTTCTGCGAAGTACAGTTTCCATTCCTATTTCAAAAATACCTTTGCCTCTGTATGGTCACTCTGGCAACCCTGTCTAGAATTTCAACCCCTTTCCCCAGTATTCCCCAGTCCTTATCCCCTTATTATTTTTCTTAGTGCTTTTTACTAAATACTGCATATTTTAATTACTTATCCTGCTTACTGTTTATCCCTTCTGGTAAGCCTCATGAGGGCAGTAATTTTTATTTATCTAATTGTGCCTGTACCCAGAGCAATTCTTGACCCAGGGGAGTCACTCAACAAATATGAGTGAGGTAAATGAGGGTGTGCATGGTGAATGAAGGGGTGCTGGCTCCTTGACCTCCAGGCCACTGGCCACCCAAAACTGTGGGCATCCAGCCTACTCGCCTAGCCTGTCCATCCTGGCCCTGGGAGCCTGGCTCCTCGGCTTTCTGCTCTCCCCATGGCACAGCACTCACCTTCAGCTTGTGTTCATGCTCCTTGTTGACACGTGCAAGCAGCTGGGCTTTCCTTCTGTTGAGGGCATCGATGAGGGCATCACATTGGGCCACCAGACAAGCCTCAAACTCCACGCTGTTCTCCTGCGTGAGAGAGTACATATCTTAGCCCCAAAGTACCTGGGCTCCTTGGGCTGCCAGAGAAAATATGTCTCCCCTGTCCATTTGTGGGGTGGAAATCCCTGCTGAAGGAGATGAAAAGGAACTCTGTCTACAATGCACATTTAGCTTTTTTTAAATAACTGGATAAATTTAATTCTACAGCGGTAGTGTCCTCTTGAATTTTACATTGAGAAGGATAAATATTACTTAATAAATTCATTTTTACCAAAAGGAAATCATCTCCACAGTTCACATTATATTGTGTAAAATAAAGCTTAGTTTGTAGAGTTGAACATGAATCCTTCTGAGGGCTGGTGTATATGTCCACTTATGGATGGTGGAAGGTGGCATTCAGAGAGGCTAGCTGCCTGAACGGATTGGGTATGGTGGAGGCATGAGAGTTAAAGAATCATTCAATTCCAGAGGAGAGAGAAGAAAGAGGACAGCAGTGGTCTTCAATATTAAACAATAATCCAATGACAACAGAAGTTTATAAGAATAATCATGGGCAAAAGTACTAGCTCCTTTCATTAAGGAAAGCAAACAGTTAATGCACATAGGCGGTCAAGAACAATTAGTATATGTAACAGGCATCACCCAGCTGTAAAAGTCAAGCCATGAACCAACCGCTTGTGGGAGAAAGCTAACCATATTCTAAATGAATTATAGCTTCTCCATGATGTTTAAATTGAATGCCGGATCTAACTATTTACTTGATTTAAACCTATACATGCCATAGACATTTCTTTTTAAGCAATTCTCTCCTAAATCATAAACATTTATGGACAGTCATCTTTTCAAAATGTTACATATGTAATTTTGAGTGCCAAACCATAATCTGCAAAACAATTGTAATTTATAGCAAATGGAAGATGAATTCTCACATATACACGAATAGCACTGAAAAAATAGCATCCAACTGAGTCAACTGTAAGCTTTTGGGGGCTGGCAAGGAAAGAACAGCTTAGCCTATCAAACTTTAATTTATTCCCAAAGTCATAAAGAACTGTGTCTCTTAATATGAGGACATACCGATAGGTATCTGATAACTTCTCAAATGCAAGGTCTTCGTTTAAGGTGTGCATTAGTAATTGCTAGAGCAATGACTTCTACATGTGAAATTTCGGCTTTCATGACAATTGCTTTTTGAGTACTCAGAGAAGTCCTATAGAAAACATCATTTAAGAGCTCTCTATGTCCCATGCAGGGTAATATCGGGAGGATGAGGGCAGCCTTCTTACAAGTTCTGATGTAGAGCACAAAGAAAGCTTTGCTCTGTTGAAGAGGTGGGGTACAGAGGCAAAAGCAAAGAAAGGACTGACGGATAACCTCTGCTGGCCTGGAAAACGGAAGGAAGTGTCCAACTGTTAGGCTGTTAGGGAATCAAAAGTTTTAACATGGGCATGCATGCAAAAAAGGGTGAGGAAATCAGTGTGAGAGGCTTTGAAAGGCTGGCTTACATTTAAAAAGATATTTCTACCTTGACATGACTTAAATATTAACTCAGAAAGCAATTTACTGGACGCCAGAGGGAAGGTTATTTCTGTGAGGCAATCTCGAAATGTATGAACAGTAAACAGTGCAGAAGATCATTATTTAAGCATCTCGTGCATTTTATGGCTTCTTCCCTTTAGCAATAGTGGAGAATTCAGGGGCTCTCAAATGCTGGTCACTGTGTCCAAATAAAGCAATCTGAAATTATAGCTACCGGGGGGAGGGTATCTTGGTTGGAAAATATTTAAGTATCTAAGTAGAGAAGAAGCATTACTATGGGCAAGAAGGAAGGAAAGAGGGAAGGAGGAAGGAAGGAAGGGAGGGAGGGGAAAATGTGACCCCTTTGTTTACCATTGGATAAGACATAATTACGGCAAGGTGGTTTGCAAACCTGTAGAGTTTAAAAAACTCAATAATTATGACTCTGAATTCACCAAGAGATCTCTTTCTAAATCCACAGTAGTAGAGAATTAGGACCTCGGTGCTGAAGACAGGAGCTATTTGGAAAACCAGGTTGTGTTGCTGGCTGGTTGGCAAAATATAACCACCTCAAGAAGGGGGCATATTTGAAGCTGATCTGTACGTGTGTTTGTATTAGAAGAGACAGAGCAGAAAATAATAACTGGAATTTCCCCACAATACAGAAAAGTAGAAGAAACAGACAAATTTCCCCACAATGCAGCTACATCTAAACCCAAGGCGTTTGCTTTCTGTCTCAGGTGCTGCCGATACCTGGATCTGCTGGACCATGTTGCGGAGCTGCACCAGAAACTCCTTGGCTTCTTTGGCCCTGTCTGATAGTCCGTTCAGCGCCTGGGAGAGCTGGCTCTGCAAAGATAAAGAAAGAAACCATGGAGCTGTAATCACAGGAAGTAGCAACAAGGTCGTAGAGAGTCATTTCGATCCAAGACCCAAGAGTCCTCAGCCTCCTCAGATTCTTCTTGTCAGAGCTTGGGACACCAACATTTGTACGTGAGGATTCTATAATGACCTCTAGACCCCTTCCACAGGCTCCTGAGAACTTTCTCCTCTGAAGCAGGGACAATTCCTGCCCATTGCAGAGGCCCTCACCAGCTGATATCTGCCTGGAATTTCCACATCTCATTAATTCATTGACTAATTTAGCAATGATTTATCTAATTTGATATTAAAAGAAGACAGTGAGTCAGATGATTGACCTGGGCCCGGGGCAGGAAGAATAGAGAGTCAAGAACAGGATGAGGAAGGGAAGGGTTAGAGCATTGATGTGATACTCTGGGGCCTCTTCAGTGTAATGACAGATACAAAAGCCACGACCACATTCCTCCTCAAGCTCACCTTCCTGCTCCCAGTTACAGCCCTGTTGCCCTAACTCCTCTCCATTCCCAAACCAAGGCAGACTCTCCTCCCGATTTCACACACTGTGCCATCCATATAGGAGGCAATTCTGCTGGGGGGCCATGGGTGCAGGTAAGCACTTGCTTTTTCTCCAGCCTCCCTGCCTGCTGGGGCGGCCACGGGACACACTGCTAATTGATGAGATTGAAGTGGAGCTTGGCTGAGGGTGAGGAAGGGTCTGAGAAAGCTCTTGCTTTTCTGCTCACATGAGACCAGTGTAGGTGGTGCAGCCCCTACCCTTGTGTTCCCGATTTTATGGCAGATGTCTTATGATTCTCACCGAGAAGGCCAACATGGTAAGGGAGGAGGGGTGAAAGAAGAAAGAGCCTGGGCTCCAGGGGCAGCTTTGAGCAGCCGAACAACACCTGAGGTCTCCTGCCACTAAGCTGCTTGTCGATGGGGAACATTAACTCCTAGTTAAGTTCCCATACTGAGGTTTCCATTACTGACAGCCATTACCATTGTGCTTGGTGCAAAAGTTCTTCTCCTAGCAGCCTGGGCATATCCTCCCATCTCTCCTATAAATTACAGAGACAAACTCCTTTCCCACAACACCTTCTTTGAAAACTAAAGCCCACTCCCCTCCCTGCCAACACAACCCCTCAAACACTCTCCCCTTTCAAGTAAAAGGGCAGAATCTTAAGATTATATCTCTTGGTCTAATGAACGTTTCTCTGTCTCTTTTAAAAAAAATTTTAAATCCAGTATAGTTAACACACAGTGTTATCTTAGTTTCAGGCGCACAAGAGAGTGATTCAACAATTCTATACATTACTCAGTGCTCATCAAGTTAAGGGTACTTTTAATCCCCTTCATCTTACCATATGATCCAGTAATTCCACTACTGGGTATTCACCCAAAGAACACAAAAACACTAATTTGAAAAGATATATACACGTCTATGTTTATTGGAGTCTTATTTACAATAACCAAGATATGGAAGCAGCCCAAGTGTCCATCAATAGATGAATAGATAAAGAAGATGTGGCATACGTATACAATGGAATATTACTCAGCTATAGAAAAGAATGAAATCTTGCCATTTACAACCACGTGGATAGAGCTAGAGAGTATAAGACTAGCTGAATGTTTTTCTCTTATATTTGCCTTATTAAATACAAAGTTGGGCACTGGATCTCTTTAAAAATATGCATGCCAAATGCTTCATAGAAGCAATGTGTAGTGGTAGAAAGAACATAAGCCTTGGAAGGGCTCAAATTCTGCCTCTGTCCTTTACTAAATGTGACCTTGAGAAAGTTACCTGTGCCTGAGTTACTCCAATATAAAAAATGGGAAGTATAATAATGTTTTGTAGTTGGGTTATCAGGAGGGTTTAGTAAATTCACCAATGCAAAAGCTCCTGCTAGCTATGGGTAATGGTTAAGGGAACTACTCTGAATTCATAAATGCTACGAGTTACTGGCTGTTCAAACTTTTTTAACATAGTTTTATCTCCTCCATAAAATGAGAAGAATATTACTATTCTTGGGTATTATGGGCATTGCATGAGATACTAATTTAAAGCAAGAACCCCTCTGGTGCATGGTACATGCTTAATAAATGTTGGTTGTTATTAACTTTAAAAAAAGATTTTATTTATTTATTTGAGAGGGAGACACAGAGAGCAAGCGTGAGCTGGGGGGAGAGGAGCGGAGGGAGAGGGAGAAGCAGACTCCCTGCTAAGCAGGGAGCCCGACACAAGGCTTGATCCTGGGACTCCAGGATAATGACCTGAGCCACCCAGGTACCCTGGTTGTTATCAACTCTTATTCACCTTCTTCCTTCCTGCTCACAAATACCTGCAGACTGACTGGGTAGATTTGCAGAGCAGATTCCTGGAACAGGATCTGTTGGAGAGTATCCTTATTCACTTGTACTTTGATCTATGTACTCAGACTCAGGGAGGCTAGCCCAACACAACTGAGTAAGAAAAAGCACAAAGTGAGCCTACGATGCTGGAAGGGCTACTCAGTTATTTATTACCAGGTCTCAGCTGCATCTATTATTTGGGGTAAAAGTTTTCTCCTCAAGAAATTTTTCCAAGAGCCCAGGGGGTGAAGGAGGGTAGGAGGGTCTCGTTTAGAGGAGCAGGCAATACAATGGGAGACATATTCTAAAGGAGACATTTTTCATTGTTACTTTAGAATTCATATCCCTTCTTTTTCTGAATGAGCAAAAGTTTGCTGGCTACTATAGTTTTCTTCCCCTTTGTATTATAACCTCTGCCTTAGTAAACACATTTGGATGTTGGAATACAGAAGCCAAGTTCATTCAGCTGTACAGAACTGAAGCTACCTGATTTCTTGTATCCCCACCTGGTACTTAATTGTACAATGTAAGTTAGACCTGAACCCATAAAGAATTGTTGACGAGGTACTGCTATCTTCTTAGAAAAAAAATTATTCCGTAGTATACAAAGAGTACTGGCCTCATCCACTCCCAGGTTTTTATATGTCAAAGCAAGAAGTGAACTGAAAAAATCAATTCATTTGCAGATTACCTCCCTTTGTGTCTATTTCCAATCCCAAGAATGCCTTCTACCTGGCAAATGGTTCTGGTATTTGATAAACAACTGCATTATAAGATAATGATCTAAAACTTTTCTCTTAAGCTTTGCCAACTTGTGGAAACTGAGCAGGAGACAATGAAAAATCTTGGAAACTATCACTAGAAAATGCTCTTATTATAAGGATTTATGTGTGCGTTGCCTTTATAGGATAATCTTTTGGTCACATTTATAAGCTACATCTAATGTAGAAGAACATTATTATTTACTGATTTTGTCTCCCAGAAGCATTTAAATTCCTGCTGTGGGCTAACAGAAATGTTCTGTATTCAGGACCACAGAGCAGCCCTGGGGATTTATAGCAGAACACCACAGATGCAAATACTTAAGTGTGTTTTCCTTATAGCACCTTCGGCCATTAAAAGCGGTTTATAATGCCTAAGCAATGCCATTCTGATTTCCTGCATAGTTGTCTTCCAATTTTCTGAAAAGCTGTCATGACCAGAAAGTGAATGAGAGTGGGGAAATAATGTAGCCGAGGAGGCAAGAGCTCAGAGCATGCTTTGAATCACCAAGATCTCCCAGAAAGAGCTGCTCAGAGCTTGAAGGAGGGAAACAAAGCACTCCCCCTCCTCCTTCCTTCCTGTGCTGCTTTTCCCCTCCAACTCCCACCCAGATTCCCCTCACCTTCCAAAGGAGTGAAGGTTGTAAGGGATCAGCAGCTCAACCTGGAAGCCGGTCTGCAGACAGGTATGGGTTTCAGTCCCTCCTGACCAACTCCTCCCTTGGCCGAGCACCTGCCCAGCTGCGGAGGATGCCCCCGCAGGGGATGGTGTCTCCTTTCCTCACTCTGCCATGAACATCATTCACGTGTCATTTCCTCCCTCAGTTTACTGTGAATATTGGATGGAGACAATTGGGACAAATGAAGGAGAGCTTCCTGGCTGTCTGAGATCTGAAGTTACAGGTATGGGACAGGTCAAAAAGGGTCAACCCTAAACAATTAGTACAAAATAGATGAGATGACAAACAAGAAATAGTGGCTTGATGGCCCCTTGGGACTCTGTCCCAGTGCACTCTGCTTGGGGACTGTGGCCCAGGCCACCTCCTTCCCAGGTACCTGGGTCTACACAAAACGCAGAAGCAAAGTGACAATTGATGTGATGTGATTTTGAAGTAAGGCCTCTAGAAGAACGATTTTTTTCTGGAAGGAATGCTGGTTTTTAAGTCTTACTACATTACTGACATTCTATAATTAAAAAGTAAAGGCAAGAAATTCTAATAGTTACAAGATATTGGTCATTTATTATTAGCAAGGGACTGTTGGGTGCTTTTAATGGGCATCCTATTTAATCCCAATCACCACCCTGCCATTTTGCACAGGCTCAGAGAGGATACACTTGAGTTAGGTTTTATGACTCACACATAAAAGAGCAGGAACACAAACCCTAGTCTGACTCCAAAGTTGTGCTCTTTGCTTCTGCCATCCAAAGAAGAGAATTCTTCTCTCACTCATGCAGGAAGAAATAAAAACCACCTACGGTGAGAGCATGTAAAACCAAGGAAGGTGAGTTGGTGAGAGGATTATGATTGATTATGAGGAAACCTGATTATGCTTAACAGGGAGATAATAAGTAAACCATAGCATAGCTAGTTAACCTAGCTTTTTTCCAGCATAAAGTTTTTTTTGTGAATTTGAAAAGGACCTGTCAATGAGATCCATGGGTCTCATGGGAGAGGGTCAAAAGCTTTGGACCGAGGTCCAGCTCTGGCTTTATCACCCACTGACCTGAGACCTTGGAAGGGACTGGGCTGAGGGTGGAATCAGGTAAAGGAATGAGAAGTCACTGAGTGACTAGAACTTGGGAAATTTTGAGTTAAACTCCCAGGGGGACTGACTCTCCTTCTGGCTAAAACTTCTGTTTCTGGCCTGTACCTTTCCTTC